AAAAACCAGGGCTAAAACACACACGTGTGTGTAAGGTGCCGTCGAGACACAGTCAACTTGCGGCGGCCCCAGCCAAGGGCTTTCAAGGCAAGTGAGCAGCAGAGGTGGTTGGCCACGGCCTTCCTCTCCAGAGCCTTCCTCGGTGGTCTCCCATCTAAGTACCCACCCTGCTTCGCTTCCGAGATCTGACAAGATCGGGCTGTGCTGTGCCTCCTTCCCTTCCGTTAAAATGCATACAAAGGCATAACAGCAACCATTGGTTAGGAAGGAGGGAAACTGGTAAAGGTAAAGGTTTCCCTTGCTCGAAAGCCAGTCGAATCCGACTCTAGGGTTGCGGTGCTCATCTCTGTTTCAAAGCCGAAGAGCCAGCGCTGTCCGAAGACGTTTCCGTGGTCATGTGGCCGGCATGACTAAGCACCAAGGCCCACGGAACGCTGTAACCTTCCCACCGAAGCGGTACCTATTTATCTACTTGCAATTTCTTGCTTTCGAACTGCTAGGTTGGCAGGAACTGGAACTAGAGACGGGAGCTCACTCCGTCATGCGGCACACTCGGGTCTCGGACTGCTGAAGGGGACACCAAATCAAACAAAAAAGTCTTCCGCTCCTGGAGGAAGGTGGCATAAGCCTGGGAGGGAAGAGCAGAAGGCTTGCTGCAGTGTAAAGGACCCTTTGCTCGGCGTCTCTCCCTTCCCTTTGCAGTTCTTATTAAGAGCCCTTCTGGCCGCTGCTTTAATTCTTCTTTCCATCGACCTGCAGCCTTTGCATTGTCAAAAGTAATTTAGAGTTGCCACGAACAGCGCCCAGGTGTATTTGAGCGCCTTGTACATTTTCCTCCCCTCTTGTCTTTTCACTGTCACCCAGAGAACCGTTGCATTATTTTAACTTTTTCTGGAAGCTGTAATCTAGTTAACACAAAACAGCCCCACCAGTGGGGAAGGGGAGGGCTAAAGTGATGGGGGCTGGAATGTTGCTCAGGTGTGCCAGGCCGTCCGGTGTCTGTCTCCCCCCCCCCCCCATTTAGAGGCTTGCTCTTTTCAGTGTGCAGATGAGTAACTTAAGTAAAACGGGTCAAGTGAAAGGAAATGCTGCCGCTGCCTTTACACAGGTGAAATTAGATGCCACGGGTGGCACTTCCAAGGAAGCTGTGGCTACTAAATGATAAGGCAGGCAATAGAGTTGCAATGTACTAAGCCAGTGATGGCGAACCTTTTAGAGACTGAGTGCCCAAACTGTGACCCAAAACCCACTTATTTATCACAAAGTGCCAACATGGCAATTTAACCTGAATACTGAGGTTTTACTTTAGAAAAAACAACTCATACATTAACTTAAGATGATCCAAACAAAGTAAGGAAAGCAATCCCAAATGCTTACAATCAGAGGTCATTTCGGGGGGGAACGTGGGGGAACACAGTTCCCCCGGGTGAGGTGCAGGGGGTGGGGCACATGACGAAGCCCCTCCCCCTGCTTCCGGCCGCCCCGCTTCCAGCCCTCATTCAGCCAGGAGGAGGCAGGAGAAGAGGGAGGGTAAGTTGCTTCCTCCCCGCCTCTCCCCACCCCTGCCTGCCTGGGGCCAGGGAGGGCCTTGGCGGGGCTTCCTCACACTCCCGCTGGCCTTGCAGGTCCACAGCCAGGCCCCTGATGTCAGGGGGTGTGGCATATGCTAATGAGTTATGCTAATGAGTTCCCCTAGCTCTTTTTCTACGAAATGACCCCTGCTTACAATTACTTTAAATTATTTGGCAGAGAATTCGACACTTTAATGATGGTCTGGGCCTGGCTGGGGCGATGGCATGTGTGCCCACAGAGAGGGCTCTGAGTGCCACCTCTGGCACCCGTGCCATAGGTTCGCCACCACTGTACTAAGCGATTCATAAAGTTACTTCGATAAATTTATTCGGGACTGTGGTCTGTACTACTGTGTCAAGCCTGCTGAAACTGGGGTCCTACTGTGTAATTTTTGCACGATTTCATGTGTTATGTTAAAACCCATGCTCTGCTTCAGTTGTCTTCAGACTTCTGGTTGGTTCTACAGACCTGATCTCATTGCATTGTTTGTTGAACGTCCCGCCCTGTTGGTCCTGTGGATGACTCACTTGTGTCAGCAGGCTTGAGAAAGTGAGAAAGGCAGATTATAAATAACGCAAATTAATTGATGTAATGTAATGCTGTGAGCTCCTTCCGATAATTTTTGTTTGTGCGTAAAAATAAAACAGGAGTCCAGTGGTACTTTCTTTTTTGTCATCAAGTTACAGCTGACTTAGGGCGACCCCCCGTAGGGTTTCCAAGGCAAGAGACGTTCAGAGGTGGTTTGCCGTCGCCTGCCGGCTTCCTTGGTGGTCTCCCATCCACATACTGGCCAGGGCTGACGCTGCTTAGCTTCTGAGATCTGATGCGATTGGGCTAGTTTGGGCTATCCAGGTCAGGGCTAGAAGACCAACAAAATTCATACCTGCGTAGTTTTTTGTGAAGCGGAGTTCCCTTCTGTCAGAGCTCTCTCAGGCTCACCCACCTCACAGGGTGTCTGTTGTGGGGAGGGGAAGGGAAAGGAGTTCGTAAGCTGCTCTGAGACTCCTTTGGGTAGTGAAGGGCGGGGCACAAATCCAATCTCCTTCTCCTTCTCCTCCTTCTCACGGAATATGCCTCCTTGAAGCCGACACTTCTACACCTAAAGCTGCAAGCACAGAAAGTTCTCACGGGGTTGCAAGTGTTGTGCTGATACAGAAAAAACAAAACAGGAATCCAGGGGCACCTTTAACGACTAAGGACATTTATCCTAGCATAACCAAACAGGAAGGAGGGCGATAACTGCAAAGAGAAGCCACTGTAAAACAAGATCCGATCAAAAGCTGCGGATAAGACAGGCAAAGTGGAGTTGACATCACATCAGATCTAATCCAGGAAAGTGCTGGGTACGAGACGATAAGCAGATCCGGTTAGGAAGTGTAGGTGAAGCATGATAAACAGATCTAATTACAAAAGCACAGAGACCATCTAAGGGTCTGTACGTGTGTTTACTATTCATTTTTTAAAAATGAACATGTAGTTCCATTGTGTTAATCTATGGTAGGGCTTCCTAGCCTTTGTAAACTCCCTTGAGAAAGTGGGAAAGGCAGATTATAAACAAAGTAATTAATTAATGTAATGCTGTGAGCTCCTTCTGAGAATTTGTGCGTTTGTGTAAAAATAAAACAGGAGTCCAGTGGTGCCTTTTTTTGTTGTTGTCAAGCCACAGCTGAGTTATGGTGACTGTAGGGTTTTTAAGGCAAGAGACATTCTCCTGCCTATTTTCAAGGTATGAGCTTTCAAGTGTCAGTTTCCTTTGTCCGATGCCCATTGCACATATCTGATGAAGGGAGCTTTGACTTTCGAAAGCCCATACACCGAAAATCTTGTTGGCCTCTATGGCGCTACTCGACTCGAATGGAGCTCTTCTTCTGCGGACCAACACGGCCTCCCTCTGACACTGACCTTTCCCTTGTCAGTGACCTTTCCCTTGACACTGACCTTTCCCTTTAAAAAGGATTCCAGAGGAGATCTGGGAAATTACAGGCCAGTCAGTCTGACATCGATACCGGGTAAAAGTGTTATTAAGGAAAGAATTGGTAGGCACATTGGTGAACAAAAACTATTGAGGCAGACTCAGCATGGGTTCTGTAAGGGAAGATCTTGTCTCACTAACCTGTTAGTGTTCTTTGAGGGGGTGAACAAACATGTGGACAAGGGGGACCCAATAGATGTTGTTTAGCTCAAAAATCATGGGATAGAAGGACAAGTCCTTTTATGGATCAAAAACTGGCTAGTTCATAGAAAACAGAGAGTGAGTGTAGGTGGGCAATTTTCTCAGTGGAGGGGGGTAAGCAGTGGGGTACCGCAGGGATCAGTACTTGGTCCACTGCTTTTTAACTTGTTCATTAATGATTTGGAGATGGGAGTAAGCAGTGAAGTGGCTAAATTTGCGGATGATACAAAGTTGTTCAGGGTGGTGAAAACCAGTGAGGATTGTGAGGCACTCCAAGGGGATCTGTCAAGGATGGGCGAGTGGGCGTCAACATGGCAAATGGGGTTCAATGTGGCCAAGTGCAAGGTGATGCACATTGGAGCCAAAAATCCTAAATATAAATACACATTGATGGGGTCTGAACTGGCAGAGACTGATCAAGAGAGAGATCTTGGAGTTGTAGTAGATAACTCACTGAAAATGTCGAGACAGTGTGTGACTGCAATAAAGAAGGCCAATGCTATGCTGGGGATTATTAGGAAGGGTATTGAAAACAGATCAGCCAATATAATAATGCCCCTATATAAATCAATGGTGCAACCTCATTTGGAATACTGTGTACAGTTGTGGCCACCACACCTTAAAAAGGATATTATAGCTTTGGGAAAAGTGCAGAAAAGGGCAACTCGAATGATAAAAGGGTTGGAACACTTTCCCTATGAGGAAAGGCTAAAGCGCTTAGGGCTCTTTAGGTTGGAGAAACGACGACTGAGGGGTGACATGATTGAGGTTTATAAGATTATGCATGGGAAAGAGCAGGTAGAGAAAGAGGTACTTTTCTCCCTTTCTCACAATACAAGAACTCGTGGGCACTCCATGAAACTGCAGAGCGGTCGGGTTAGAACGGATAAAAGGAAGTACTTCTTCACCCAAAGAGATTAACACATGGAATTCACTGCCTCAGGAGGTGGTGGTGGTGGCTACAAGCATGGACGGTTTCAAGAGATAATTAGATAAGCATATGGAGCAGAGGTCCATCAGTGGCTATTAGCCACAAGGTATAGATAGGAACTCTGGGGCAAGTGATGCTCTGTCTTCTTGGTGCTTGGGGGGAGGGGTCAACAGTGGGAGGGCTTCCAGTGTCCTGGCCCCACTGCTGGACCTCCTGATGGCACCTGGTATTTTTAGCCACTGTGTGATACAGAGTGTTGGACTGGATGGGCCATTGGCCTGATCCAACATTGTCTTCTCTTATGTTCTTATGTTGTGTCCACAGATGTTACAGCTGCATTTTGCCAAGGGCAGGCGGGCCTTCCTGGTCCTGAAGCGCCTCTCAGTATACCCTGCCGCTTTCCAGAGCACCCAGCATGTGGAATACAAGCCCATCAAGAAGGTGATGGTGGCCAACAGAGGTGAGATGGCACGGGAAGGAGATGGGACTGGTGGGACTCCCCTTCCCTTGTTCTTCGTATCCACCTTGTGATTTGTCTTCTGCCTTCCAGGGGAAATTGCAATCCGGGTGTTTCGAGCCTGCACCGAGCTGGGCATCCGGACAGTGGCTGTCTACTCAGAGCAGGACACGGGTCAGATGCACAGGCAGAAAGCGGACGAGGCCTATCTCATTGGCCGGGGGCTTCCCCCAGTCCAGGCCTACCTGCACATCCCAGACATCATTAAAGTTGCCAAGGTAAGGGAGGAAGCACAGCCCACCGCTGGATGTCCTGAATGCAGCTAAACCGGTGCTTAAGAAACTCCTGTTTGGGCCATAGTGTTGGGGGATTCCAGGTGGTGGTGGAAGAGACAAAAACTTCTGCCCCTCCACGTGGAAGTTCCTAAACAACAGTAACATGGAGAAGTGGTGTGCTGCTTCCAGATGTTCTCCAAGCACTTCACAAGAAGCTGCTTTTTGGATAATAAGTGCATTGATCTATCAGTTGTTTTCGACTCTGGCTGGCAGCCGGTCTCCAGGGTTTTTAACACTGTCTGCTACCTGGTCCTTTTAACTGGAGATGCTGGGGGTTGAATTTGGGACCTTCGGCATGCAGAACTGATGCTGTACCACTGAGCCATGGGTCCTCCCCAAGACTTCCTATCCTATATCTCAGTAATATATCCTGTGTCTCAGTAATGACAGCCAGCTTGGTGTCGTGGTTAAGAGCGGCGGACTCTAATCTGGAGAATTGGGTTCGATTCCCCCACTCCTTCCCTTGTGGCCAGCTGGGTGACCTTGGGTCAGCCACAGTTCCCTCAGCCCCCTAAAACAAACCTCGCTCACCACAAATAGAGCTGGAGTTTCAGGCTGCCAGACAATCCCTGGATCTCCTGGCTATACTACACTGACTGCCATACTTCTTATTTATTTATTTATTTATTTTGAAATTTATACCCCGCCCTCCCCGCAAGCGGGCTCAGGGCGGCTTCCATAAAAGCATAAATACATTAAAATTACACAATATTTAACCATACAATAAAAACATTATAAATACAAACTGCTGGTGGCTGTTAAATTAACCTAGATGGTATATTGCTAGAGTAAATTTCCACTGCCCATATGTTCCACGATGTTTCTGCTCATAATCAGTTAGATGTTAAAACCACAGACCAAGCTCTGCAGTAATGGCCTGCAATAGGGGCCTGCAGTAACGGCCTGCAGTAGCTGCGGCCCCTAATTAAATGCCTGGCGGAAGAGCTCCGTCTTACAGGCCCTGCGGAACTGCAAAAGGTCCCGCAGGGCCCTGATCTTCTCTGGGAGCTCGTTCCACCAGGTAGGGGCCGCCATACGATAATTGATGTAATTTATCTCAGTAATCCTTACAGCAACCCTTTAAAGTGGGGAGGGGCCGTGACTCAGTGGTAGAGCATCTGCTTGGCATGCAGAAGGTCCTGAGTTCAGTACCCGGCGTCTTCAGATAGAAGGATCGGGTGGTGGGTGGTGGGAAAGACCTCTGCCTGAGAGCTTGGAGAGCTGCTTCCAGTCTGAACAGACAGTAATGAATAGACAAGTGCTGACCTCGATGAGCCAGTGGTCTGATTCAGTACAACACAACTTCATGGTAGTCTAAAGTAGGACACAGTTGTCATCCCTGTGGGGCAGGTGGAAGGCTGAGGGATGGCAGCTCGACTGGTTCATTGGCAGAAGTGAGACTTGAGCCAGGGACTTTATGGTTCATAGCTCGGTCCCTTGGCCATGATGCTACAGCAGCTCTGCAACTAGCAAAAAATCCACAAATTACCTATTAGTGTAAGGTTGGCATAACCACACCTTCCCTCTTGATTTGTTAGGCTAGACTGAATTGAAAAGCATCAGCAAAGGCTGCCAGTCTCCAGCCTATAGCTAGCACTTGCGTGTTAGGCCTGTCTTGGTGTAGAGCCAGTTTGGTGTAGTGGTTAACAGCGCAGATTCTAATCTGGGAGAACCGGGCTTGATTCTCCACTCCTCCACATGCAGCTGCTGGGTGACCTTGGGCAAGCCACAGTTCTCTCAGAGCTATTATCTCAAGAGCAGGCCTCGAGAGAGCTCTCTCAGCCCCACCTACCTCACAGGGTGTCTGTTGTGGGGAGAGGAAGGGAAGTAGATTGTAAGCCACTCTGAGACTCCGAGTGAAGGGTGGGGTATAAATCTAATCTCTTCTCTCTCTCTTCTCTTCCTCTTTTAGCACATTTCAGCAGTTGAATTACTCGGGAGTGAGGGTGGGATGCGGAAGGTAGCTATTGGAGGCTTACTGGAATCATATCCAGCAAGCCTTAAGGGCCCCTCCAATGAGCAGAAACCATCTCCTGTCCCAGTCCCATTATTACCATCCTTGGCTTCTCACCTGCAGGGCTTGGGGTTGCTGAATAATACATGACGTCTGCAAATCTGTTCTTTGGCCAAATTGTTGATGTTACGGAATGTTCATAAACATTTCACAATGCCGAGAGGACAGAATCTGTTGCAGACTGTTGAAGACTGAGTGTGAGAGTTGTAAGGCTTGTGTCCCCGTGTCCCCCCCTCCCCCCGGAAATCTTGTTGAGATAGAAGGAGAGGGGCAGATTGGAAAGCCTGGGGATAGTAGAAGGCCATAGCAAACTGGAGGGCAGTGGTGAAATGAGTCACCAAAGACCTAGTTTGCAAGAGCTGTGGGTAGGAGAGGAGAGCTGAAGAAGAAGAAGAGGAGGAGGAGGAGATTGGATTTATACCCTGCCCTTCACTACCTGAAGGAGTCTCAGAGCAGTTTACAATCTCCTTTCTCTTCCCCTCCCCACAACAGACACCCTGTGAGGTAGGTGGGGCTGAGAGAGCTCTCTCGAGAACTGCCCTTGAGAGCTCTGAGATAACTTGTGACTGACCCAAGGTCACACCAGCAGCTGCATGTGGAGGAGTGGGGGAATCAAGCCCGGTCCTCCCAGATTAGAGTCCGCACTCTTAACCACTGCACCAAACTGGCTCTGAACATCCTGCGTGCTTGCGTCTTGCTTCCCTAGCTGCTTGTCTCCGATTTTTCCATCTCTTTGATGTATGGTGCGTGGTCCAGTGCCAATCGACCGCCATCCTTATCGATAAGAGCTGTCTCCCGATCAGCATTATGGATAGTGTCAGGGCCCCCATCAAGCCCCATGCAAAGAAGAGCCCACCTGGCTGATTTCCTCAAGCTGCTCATTAAATCAATTGGAGGCTGCTGGATCAGAAGCGAAAGCTCTGAATTAAGCTGCCGAGCCAAGCCCGCTTTTGTTCTCTCGCTTTTCATGTGCCCGATAAAGCCAGTGAGAAAATGATCCGCTAACAAGGAGCCAGCTTTGCGAGCCCGGAATCCTCCGTCTGATAGCGGTGTGGGCGGAGCGCAGCCTCGTTAATTAGGAAATACTTAGTACAAAGATTCATTTGCTAGCCGGCGAGGGACGGACGGAGCCTCACCAGCCCCCCCCCCCCCCCCCCGTCCTACTAGTCACTTTTTTGGCTCTGCCGGTGTGTGGAAATGAAGGGTTTTCCAGTTTTCGGCTGCTGGAGGCTTATGTGTAGTTTGAAAATGAAAACTAGGCATTAGAGCAGCCCTAAATTTGTAGTTCTGCAACCTGTATGTATCACGGGCAGATCTCTCCAGTGCATTTTTATCCAGCCCTTATTTCAAGGAACCCAGGGAGGAGGGGGGGGAGGAAGAAGAAGAAGAAGAGGTGGGGGAGATTGGATTTATACCCCTCCCTTCACTACCTGAAGGAATCTCAGAGCATCCTACAATCCCTTTCCCTCCCCCTCCCCACAACAGACACCCTGTGAAGTAGGTGGGGCTGAGAGAGCTCTCTCGAGAACTGCCCTTGAGAGAACAGCTCTGAGAGAACTTGTGACTGACCCAAGGTCACACCGGCAGCTCTACATGGAGGTGTGGGGAATCAAACCCAGTTCTCCCAGATTAGAGTCTGTGCTCCTAACCACTACATCAAACTGGCAGGCACGTGTGGTTCTCCATTTTATCCTCTCAACAATCCTGTGAGGTAGGTTGGGTAGAGAGAGGGCATGACTGCCCTCCAGGTTTCCAGTGAGCCTGACCGCATCCGTGAGACTGCCTCATACGGAATCAGACCATCCATCCATCCATCCAAGTCAGTTTTGTCTCCTAAGATAGGCAGTGGCTCTCCAAGGTCTCAGGGCCAGGTCTTTCCCATCACCTCATCCTTCTTGGAGATGCCGGGGATTGAGCCTGGGACCCTCTACACGACAAGCAGATGATCCACCACTGAGCCACAGCCCCTCCCTTTCATGGCAGGGTTTCCTTCACCCTAGTCCACTGTTCTAACCATTACACCCACATGGGCGCTCTGTTCATGCTCAGCGACGTTGAGTGTTGAAATAACTTCACGTCAGTTCTTTTAATAATCTGTGCAGCTTTCCCCCTATTGCCGTAGTAGGACTCTCGCTGAGAGTGGGTGGCTTTCTGACGACCAGCTGGAGAATGTGCGGTAGAGGCAAGAGGAGGGGAGGGAGCTGTTCCTGTTAGCAGCAGAGGGTAGGACTCACAATAATGGGTTCAAATTATGGGTGGGAAAGTACCAGCTGGATGTATTAGGATTTTTTTTTTAACACTAAGGCTTCGGTCACACACAGTAAATAATCCACTTTCAATCCACTTTCAGTGCACTTTACGACTGGATTTTACTGTGTGAACTGGCAAAAGCCACTTCTTTTTTTTTTAATTTTTAATTTTTATTTTATTAAAAAGGAAAAAAAGAACAAACAAACAAACAAACCGTACAAACAATGTAACATAACAAATAACATTTTTGGAACTGTGATATCAACAGAGTTAAACTTTAGAAAAACTTCATCTGAATATAGCATAATATAAAGAACAATAACTTCAAAAATACAATAAATTTACATAATATGGATTCTTAGGTACAATACCACTTTTCGTTAAATATGATATTATCGGAAACCAGGTCGCCTGAAATATTTCTTGTTTGCTTTCTATGTTTTCTCCATGGATATTCTTCGAGATTTTGCTATGTACAAAACATTCCCACAGCTTATTTTGCCAACAGTGAAGTGATGGGGCTTCTTTAGCTTTCCAAAATTGCGCTATTGAAATCCTGGCAATTGCAATCATTATTGCTATCTGCATCTGCGTGCTTTTGGGCTCTAGATCTATTAGTCCTAATTCTAATACAATCGATTCTATAGAGGCAGGTAAGTAGATAGAGGTAATTTTCCCTATTTGTACTAAGATTTGATTCCAAAAATTTCGGATTGACGGACAATGCCACCAACAGTGTGAAAAATCCCCCAGTTGTCCACATTGTTTCCAGCATGTCGAGGGAATGGTTGGCTTCATTTTGTGAAGTCTTGATGGTGTTAAGTACCACCTGTGTAGAATTTTAAATGTGTTAAATCGAACACTGAATATTGGAGAAACGTTATTTGGTAAAGCCCAAATTGATTGCCAAGTTTTTTCAGGTAGTGGTTGTGCACTATCTAACTGCCATTGGTTTTGACTACAAAAGCCACTTCGAAAGCGTATTGAAAGTGGATTGAAAGTGGATTATTTAGTGTGTGTGACCGCAGCCTGTGAGTCGTTCAGCAGTGGAGTCAGCCCACGTAAGGAGGTGATGAGCTCCCCCTCACTGGCAGTCTTCAAGCAGCGGCTGGACAAACCCTTGTCAGGGATGCTGTAGGAAGAAGAAACTGTGAGGTAACTGCGCTAGAAAATATTTCAATAAACAATCACAAAATATATACAAAAATGTGTACAAAAATCATATAAATGCACAAGGCAGTTGAAAATGGTGTGACGATGGTCTCCGGAATGTTCTATCGTTTCGATACTATTCTTCTTCCGAAAGTGGATGACAGCAGCGACTCTTGGTCTGTCATTTCAACAAGTAGGTATCAAAAATTTCATTATTATTCACCGATGTCTCCTACCTTAGTTGCAAGAAATTCTCTGAAAGAATGTTCCTAGGGCAAAGTGCTTGTATAATGCCTAGGAACATTCTTTCAGAGAATTTCTTGCAACTAAGTTATGAGACATCGGTGAATAATAATGAAATTTTTGATACCCACTTGTTGAAATGACAGACCAAGAAGAATAGTATCGAAACGATAGAACATTCCGGAGACCATCGTCACACCATTTTCAACTGCCTTGTGCATTTATATGATTTTTGTACATTTTTGTATATATTTTGTGACTGTTTATTGAAATATTTTCTAGCGCAGTTACCTCACAGTTTCTTCTTTTTGCGGTCTGTTCTGTGACTGTGACCATCATTTTTGAGCCACAGGGATGCTGTAGGGCCTAGGCTGATGCTGCATTGAGCCCGGGGGTTGGACTAGATGGCCTTTGTGGCCCCTTCCAACTCTAGGATTCTATGAACTGAGGACCTCCTGGATCATAACTCAGTCTCTTGACGGCCACATCATCCCTTGATCTGTTTTTCATTGACTGATCATCAGCGTCTTCAGCCAATTGATTGAGCTTAACTTCAATATAGCTATAATTTCGAGACGTTGAATGGAAGCGGAAGAGACTTTTGCAGGCTGCTAAGTCAAAGTTTCCTTTCGTCAGGGGAAAAGGCTGTTGTTCATCAATTTGTGCTTCTCTCAGTTCCCCTTGTAGTAGGACATCAGGACCCAAATAGCCGTCAAAGCTAAAACAAGCATGCCCGGAACTCACAGCCTTCTGTGAATCAGCCAAAGCTCTACATAACCGATAATGGTTTTGCGTTTGACATTTCCCCCCAGAGCTCAGGGTCGCACATGTGTGATTACCTTTATTTTCCCAACTACCGTACAAAGGCTGAGAAACTGGGTCTTCAGATCCCAGGTTTAAATCGCCATAGCACCACGAGGCTTTGTAGCACTGGAGGGATTTAAAACCAGGCTACCCCTTCTTTAAATCCAGAGTTTTGCTTGCTGCAGCACGCTGTGAAAGTGATGTAAACTGTGATGACATTTGCACAGTTAATTTGTTTCCCCGGGCTTCTGAATGCATCTCTGTATGTTGACAGTCAGAATCTGCCCTGTCGAGAAGCCGGTCCTCAGTGGCAGGACTGTTCATTGGCTGCTGTGTAATGAACAGAAGAACCTTGAAGGAACTTCAGGCTTGCTTTTGTGACAGCAAGGGAGGCATAAGAACGATCTTGCAGGATCAGAGCACAGCATTATGGTGTAATGATTAAGAGTGCTCACCAAGGGGGTGGGAGACCCAGATTCAAATTCCTTCTCAGCCATGGAAACTTGCTGGGTGACCTTGGGCCAATCACACATTCTTAGCTAGCCTACCAGGTAGGGTTTTGGTGACGATAAAATAAAGGAAGGGAGAATGGTGTGATAAGAAGAGTTGGATCTATACCCCGCCCTTCACTCGGACTCTCAGAGCGGCTTACGATCTCCTTTCCCTTTCCCTCCCCACAACAGACACCCTGCGAGGTAGGTGGGGCTGAGAGAGCTCTGAGAGAACTGCTCTTGAGAGAGCAGCTCTGAGAGAACTGTGGTTGACCCAAGGTCACCCAGCTGGTTGAATGTGGAAGAGTGGGGAATCAAACCCGGTTCTCCCAGATTAGAGTCTGTGCTGTTAACCACTACACCAAACTGGCTCTACACCAAGACAGGCCTAACATGCAAGTGCTAGCTATAGGCTGTGCAAGTGCTAGTCTGCCACTCTTAACCACTTTAAGTCTTTGTTGGAGAGAAAAGTGGGACATAGCTGTCTAAGTCAGTCCTGCTTACAACGTGACCTGCCTGAGACTTATTCACAGGCAGCGAGGGGACCTCAGGGGGAGACCTTGGCCTCTGTGTCCTGTTGTTGGTGGAATGCGCTGTCAAGTTGCAGCTGACTTACAGTGACTCTGTAGGGAGAGATGTTCAGAAGCGATTTGCCATTTCCCACCTCTGCATAGCAATCCTGGGACTTCCTTGGTGGTCTCCCATTCAAGTACTAACCAAGGCTCATCCTGCTTAGCTTCCAAGATCTGATGAGATCGGGCTTGCCTGGGCCATCCGGGTCAAGTCTACCATGTTGTCGACCCTCCGTATGTAAGCAAGAAATTGCAAGTAGATAAATAGGGACCACTTCGGTGGGAAGGTAACAGCGTTCCGTGCGCCTTGGTGTTTAGTCATGCCGGCCACATGACCACGGAAACGTCTTCGGACAGCGCTGGCTCTTCGGCTTTGAAACGGAGATGAGCACTGCAACCCTAGAGTCGGATTTGACTGGCTTTCGAGCAAGGGAACCTTTACCTTTACCTTTTACTGTGGGAAACAGGATGCGGGACTAGCTAGAGCACGCGTCTGATCCTGCACGGGTGTTCTGCTGTTATGTTCTTCTACCTCTGGAAAGTCCACAACCAGGACAGGAAGGCAGACACCCTACCCTTCTCATTGTCCCTGTGTAGATGGTTTTGGTATTCAGACCTGTACTGCCTCTGCACGTGGAGAGCCCATTTATCCATCATCACTAACAGGCCACTGATGGACCTTTCCTCCTCTGTGAATTTCCCTAATCCGCTTTTAAAGCCAGCTAAGGTTGAGGACAGCGCCATGTCCTGTGACAGTGAGTTCCGTGACCTTAGGTGAAAAGGGTCTTTTTTTTAGTCTGTGTCTACCTCACGCCAGCTTTACTGGATGCCCCTGAATTCTAGTATTATAGAAGGACAAAGGTAGCAATACCCTCACTCTCCTCACCATAATTTTAGAAACCTTGGTAATGTCCCCTGTTAGAGATGTGACTAATTGTTGCCCTTGTCCAGAGCTGAAAAGGATTCTGGGAAGTGGGATGTAGACATCCAAATTGTCAAGAACCGACAGAGCTTTGTGTGGCTCTCCCAAGTTTCCCCCTTTGTTTCCTTCCCTGATGTACAATTCTCTGCTTTCTCCAGGAGAACGAAGTGGATGCTGTCCACCCTGGCTACGGCTTCCTCTCCGAACGCTCGGATTTTGCCCAGGCCTGCATTGAGGCTGGTGTGCGATTCATCGGGCCCAGCCCTGAGGTGGTGCGCAAAATGGGGGACAAGGTGGAAGCTCGTGCCATCGCCATCAGTGCAGGTAGGGGTTGTGTTGCCAGGGGGCAGGGGGGCTGTGCCTGATTGGTAGCTGGGGCAGGGTGCCTTGGCCAATAACGAGGCAAGATTTGTGTGGGGGAGGAGCCAACTTGACTGGGGAGGGTCACCCGGCAGTTCAGGAGCTAAGATTGCCCCTTTTCTCTGCTTGCAACATGGTGGGCCCGACAGGAGAGGTTTTCCCAGAGGCCTTGGCGACCATAGTCATCACCTGGTGCTGAGCTAGTTTTTAAAAGACAGAGGCAGGAAACTGGGCCTCGAGAGAGCCCTGGTTTTTTCATCCTAAATGTACAGGGATAGACTGTATTTGCTTAGTGCTGGATGGGAGCTGTTCTGAATATACTTGGAAGTGTCTTTTGTTGTAATACAGAATTATCTGCTTCTTTGCTTTCAAAAAGTGTGTTTCGTCTTAGCATCGGATGCTGGGGGGCATCTCAGATCAGAGTCTCTGTCTAAGATCAGAGTCCCTGTCTATTTTCTGAACCAGGGCAATTTGCAAGCCGAGGGAACTGTTGGTTTCTCTACAGCGCCACCATTTAAGATGGCCAAAGAGTGTATTGCAGCTTTTATTCCAGCAGGCAGGTGACCTGAGAATAGGGTCTCGTCTGGCTGTACATAACTGTGGGTTCTGGCTTGGCTCCTTGGTCAGAATAGTTTGTTGCACTATTCAGAAAGCGACTGGACACCTCCTGGCCTGCCTGACTCCAGACTGCCACCTTTGGCATACGCTTGGATAACGACATACGCTTGCTTGATAGGCACTGCATAAATTTGGGATGACCGTGACCCAAAGCGGCAACCTGCGGTGCTGAAGAAATAAGGGCGAGGGGGAAAGCAGGTTCCCAGCATGGGGGAGCAGCCGAATAGGGAGCATCACAGATTTGTTTCTTCCCTCTCCAGGAGTGCCTGTAGTTCCCGGGACAGAAGCCCCGATTTCCTCTCTCAACGAGGCGCAGGAATTCTCCAACACTTACGGATTTCCCATCATCTTCAAAGCGGCCTACGGCGGAGGAGGGCGGGGGATGCGAGTTGTGCGTAGCTATGAGGTATGGCTGGGCCTTCGTTTATGGACTTCCTTCCTTTGTAGACCGCCTGTCTCACCAAGACTCGAGGCAGATTGCGCAGTACAAAGCAACTGGACATCAGAGACCTCCAATTAACTCTGTGGTAAAAAGGTAAAGGTTCCCTTGCTCGAAAGCCAGTCGAGTCCGACTCTAGGGTTGCGGTGCTCATCTCCGTTTCAAAGCCGAAGAGCCAGCACTGTCTGAAGACGTTTCCGTGGTCATGTGGCCGGCATGACTAAACACCAAGGCGCACGGAACGCTGTTACCTTCCCACCGAAGTGGTCCCTATTTATCTACTTGCAATTTCTTGCTTTCGAACTGCTAGTTTGGCAGGAGCTGGAACTAGAGACAGGAGCTCACTCCATCATGCGGCACACTCAGGTCTCGAACTGCTGAACTACTGACCTTCCACAGCCTGCAGTTCAGCATCTTAACCACTTGAGCCACCGCAGCTCCAACTCTGTGGTAGGGCTAGGCTTAGAGAACTGGAGGACAATGCAAACAAAAACAAAACAAAACCAAGGCAGGGGTCTCCAACCTTTTTGAGCCTGCAGGCACCTTTGGAATTCTGACACAGGGCGGTGGGCCACAGAATGGCCGCTGTAGCTTCCCTGAGTCACACAGCACTGTCGTGCAGGGGCAGCTGCCGCCCAAAAAAAGTTTTCAAAAATCTGCATGGCCAATCAAATCTCCAGTGGCCAGTCAGAACCCTTGCTGGACAGAAGCCCCACTGGGCCCAGCTGGCTTTCTAAAAACACTTGGTGGGCACCTGGAAAGGTGTCTGCCGGTGCCATGGTGCCCACGGGCACCACATGGGGGACCCCTGGTCTAAGGCGTGGCATGCCACAATACAGGAAGTGGGAAACGAGGGTAGAGGACAGTGTAGCAGAAGGGAGGTGCTACGTACAAAAAACATTTCAATAGACTACGAACTTATCTCTTTCCTTTTTGCTTTGGTCCTGTGTGATATTAGATCTTCCCCCTGCAGCCCCGTAGCTAAGGACTTTTTAGGGAGGGGGCCTGGAGGGGCCCGCCTGCTAATCCAATCAAAGGCTCCAGGGCAAGAGCTGCAGTGGCCTGCAGCTTCCCTCCCTCTCCCCCCTCCCCTCCCGCAAGGGCAGGCCTTCCCCGTGGAGCATCTGGGTCCAGTTCCCTCCCTCCCCAAGGAGCCCCAGTGCACAGCACCAGGGGCAGCCTCTGAAATCACTGCCCTTGTCCTCCCTTGCCAACAGGCTGACAGGCAATCAGGGGGAGTTGGGGTAGGGGAGCCGAGGCTCAGGAAGGGAGCTTGTAAAAACTGCTAGGGGGCTGGGCCCCGTGGGCCCCATGTTAGCTACGGGCCTGTCCCCCTGGCTTTTGGGAGTGGAAATCTGTATCAGTGGTTCTCAGTCTGCTGCCCTGTTGTTTTTGTGAATGTTACTTCTTGGTCATAAGAACGTAAGAAGAGCCCTGCTGGGTCAGACCAGTGAGGGTCCATCTAGTCCAGCATCCTGTCTCACACAGTGGCCTCAATCAGTTCCTCTGGAGGGCCAACAACAGGGTAGAGAGGCCGAGGCCTTCCCTTCATAAGAACACAAGAAGAGCCCTGCTGGGTCAGACCAGTGAGGGTCCATCTAGTCCAGCATCCTGTCTCACACAGGGGCCTCAATCAGTTTCTCTGGAGGACATAGAGGCTGAGACCTTCCCCTGACGTTGCCTCCTGGGACTGGGATTTAGAGGTTGACTGCCTCAGTATATGGAGGTTCCCCTCAGTCACCAGTGGCTAGTTGCCATTGATAGACTTATCCTCCATGAATCTATCCAGTCCCCTTTTAAAGCTGTCTATTCCTGTGGCCATCACTACATCCTCTGGCAGCGAATTCCACATGTGGGTCCTACCCTTGGAGACAGTTTTAAGTGCTTCAAGCCCTTTAAACCCATCCTTGTTGTTTCCGAACAGTTCTATCCTGCTTTCTCAGGAATTACCGTTCAAAGGAGCTCATATTATGTGAAAGAATAATGTTAACATCTGCCAGCTTAAAAGGCCAGAATTAGAGAAGAAACACAAGAATGATTGGCTGCATCTCAGCTGGCGGGTAACATGACAGTCGTCCAGAACTACCCAAAAGTCAGCTGAACTGAAAAGGTCATGGCCTGGCACCCAATAGCTAGTCTGACCTCTTGGAGGAGGGAGAGAATTCCAAAGATGTGGTTTCTTTAAAAAAAAAAACCGACCACATCCTTTTTATTTATTTTTTGCTGTCAAGTCACAGTCGACGTATGGCAGTCCCCTAGAGTCTTTAAGGCAAGAGACATTCAGAGGTAGTTTTCCATTGCCTGCCTCTGCATAGGAGCCCTGGGCTTCCTGCGGGGTCTCCCACCTGAGTACTCACCAGGACTGACCAGGCTGAGCTTCTGAGAAATGAGGAGATTGGGCCAGGCTGGCCTATCCTGTCAGGGCAACCCATCCCACGTCTGAACAAAAAAAGACAGGGCTTTTTCTTCCTCTCCCATGATACTAGAACTCATGGGCACTCGATGAACCTGGTGGGAAAGAGATTCAAGATGGGCCAAAGGAAATAATCCTTCACCCATTGTGGATGTATTGTTGGCCCCTGGCTTTCAAAGGGATTTAGACAGATTCACGGAGGAGATGTCCATCAATGGTGAGTAAAGCTATCCTAGCCTCCATGTGCAGAGGCAACAAACCCCTGAATACCAGTGCCAGGAAGGGAAGGCCTTATCGCCTCCAGGGCAGCTGGTTTGCTGCTTTGTGAAACAGAATGAAGAAGACTTGGTTTTTATACCCCACTCTCTATACTCTACCTTAAGGCGTGTCAAAGGGGCTGGTGACCGCCTTCCCTTCCTCTCCCCGCGACAGGCACCTTGTGAGGTGAATGAGGCTGAGAGAGTTCTGAGAGATTGGTGACTGGCCCAAGGTCACCCAGCAGGCTTCATGTGCAGGAGGGTTGGGGGAATCAAACCCGGCTCTCCAGGTTAGAATCCGCCACTTGTAACCATTACGAGAGCCAGTTTGGTGTAGTGGTTAAGAGCGTGGACTCTAATCTGGGAGGACCATGTTTGATTCCCCCAACCCTCCACATGCAGCTTGTGACCTTGGGTCAGATCACAGAGCTGTTTCAGAGCTGTTCTCTCAAGAGCAGTCTCCAAAAGAGCTCTCTCAGCCCCACCTACCTCACAAGGTGTCTGTTGTAGGGAGGGGAAGGGAAAGGAGATTATAAACCACTCTGAGACTCCTTCAGGTAGTGAAGGGCAGAGTATGAATCCAATCTCTCCTTCTTCATTACACCGTGCTGGACTAGTTCGACCAATGGTCTCAGGGCTGGCATCAGCAAACCCTGCAGTGGGGCAGCTATCTGTGCCCAGGGCTCCTGGCGGGGCCCACGGCTGCTGAGCCCCACCCACGCCCCTCCCCTGCCACCTGTCTGCATGCCTTTCCCCACCTGCTTGCCCGAAGTGCTTTGCCACCCCTGCTAACCACTGCCCAGCGTCACTGGGGAAAGGCATGTGAAGCACAGCGATGGTGCTGCAGGAGGCCACAGCAGCAGCACTCCCAGATGCACACAGCGTCCGGTGCTGTTGGCATAAGGGTGTGCAGGTGGTGCAGGCGACCGAGGACGGGTAGTGGGAGGGCTTAGGAATGGGAGAAGGATGGGGGGGCACACAGGAAAGGTATGGGGGAGGCCTGAGGGTGGGCAGACGGGGCCCCTTAGAACCTGGAACCAGCCCCGGATGGTCTAATCCAGCCAGACCCCTCTTCTATTGCCTGCTTCCCCTCATCTTTGGCAGGGGAGGACCCAGAGAAGGGCCTGGGCGAGGATTTAAACAAGTGGCTCGGTTTCTATGGGAGCAGACGGTCCTTCAGCTATGCAGGGCGCAGACCATTTAGAGCGCTACAGGTTATGTCTCTTTGAAACCATCAGAAGCCGACACAGATCTTGCAATAACAGGGAAACGAAGTCACCTTTCGGCAGAGCTGTCAGCAAAGCTCTTGGGTGGGTGTAGGGAGGGGGCAAGGATTACGCCACCATCATGCGCCCTTGAGAGGCAGAGACGGAATTCGTGCTGGGGGGGGGGCTGAATCAAAGGGGAGCCGTGGAGGAAGCGGTGAAGAGCGCGGATGGCTGATTTGTCTGAGCAGCCAATCCCAGAAGAGAGTAAAAGAGAGATTGGGTTTATACCCCACCCTTCTCTCAGAGTCTCAGAGCATTTTACAGTCTCCTTTCCCTCCCCCTCCACACAACAGACACCCTGTGAGGTAGGTGGTGCCGAGAGAGCTCTGAGAGAGCTGCCCTTGAGAGAACAGCTCCGAGAGAACTTGTGACTGACCCAAGGCCACACCAGCAGCTGCCTGCGGAGAAGTGGGGAATCAAACCCGGTTCTCCCGGATTACAGCCCGTGCTTCTAACCACTCCACTAAAGTGGTGTACAGAAGATAGCCAAGAGGTGCAGATGCCCTGTCCCTCAAGCTCGGCCTTGTTGTCTCTGACCAAGGGGAGCCTTTTCAGAGTCTCCCCTTTCTCTGCTGCCTGAGATCTTTTAAAGGGGGATACCAGGGCTTGAACCTTCTTCATGCCAAGCAGGTGCTCTACGGCCGAGCAACGGCCCTTACGCACACTGGCAGTAGCTCTCCAGGGTCCCAGGCAGAGGTCGGTCACATCACACACCACCTGACCCCTTGAACCAGCGACGCTGGGGATTGAACAGGGGACCTTCTGCATGCCAAGCGGATGATCTACCCGTGAGCCACAGCTTCGCACCTGAGATGGGGGCCTGCGCTCAAGCTTGGAGGAGGAGGAGATGGGAAAGCAAGGGGGAAAGTTGGAGAGTTGCTTAAGAGACACCGGGCATCGAGCCGTTTGCCTTGCATTCCATTGTGATTCAGACAAGGCATTACATTGTGATTCTCTGCTGCTATTATGGTCATTGCACACCTTGGTCATTGCACCTCCAAATTTTACTGTTTTTGGAAGAAGACACCTATCCCTCTTGACAAAGGTTTTGTTCCAAAATGGCTCATATCGGCCGCATCGCTGTTGAGAATGAGGAGATAAACAAAACCGTAGTGGCGTTTCTGATGCTTTCGTTGTCCCTTCTCAGGATTCAGGGAAGAGAATAATAGACCGAGGTGGCTTCTTTGTCACTTTCATTGCGTCTCTCCTACTCTTGATTGTTAGATAGTATCCTATTCAGCTACATTGTCTTTGTCCGCTTTATAGTTCACGTTGTGTTAAACATACTTGTAAGTTCTCGTGGGATCTTTGTAACGCTTTAGAATATCCATGTTCATTTACATGTGATCGTCATGATCCCTTATTTCAATTAGATGGTAGTTTCATGCATTAATGACTGGTATTTTTTGTCTCTGGGGAGTTATTCTTGATTATAGCTAACACAGCAATTGGGGAGGGGCTGTGGCTCAGTGGTAGAACACCTTCTTGACTTACAGGAAATCCTAGATTCAGTTCCCGGTATCTCTAGGTAAAAGGATCAAGCAGCAGGTGGTATGAAAGACCTCTGCCTGAGACCCCAGCATTAACCTCAGCGGGCCAATGATCCAGTTCTGTAGGAGGCAGTTTCCTGTGTTCACATGCATGTGTCTTCCCCCTTTAGGAGCTGGAGGAGAACTACACCCGGGCGTACTCCGAGGCCCTTTCCGCTTTTGGGAATGGAGCTCTCTTTGTGGAGAAGTTCATTGAGAAGCCGAGACACATCGAGGTCCAGATTCTGGGTAGGTGTGGAGTGTGTGTGCGTGAGTATGTTATTACCAGGGCAAAACAAAATACACGGATGGGAGGCTGGCTGGACAAAGCGGGGTCCCTGCTGACCGCTGGGCCGAAGGGCCAATTCACGGGGCAGCAGTGAGCACGTGGCCAGCTTTCCCCCATCCTTGCTTTTGTTAGCCCCAGGCGGAATTCAGCTTGCAGCAAACCTATTCCTCAGAACCTTTTGTTGGGGGAAAATTGCCATCAGTTTGGCCCACCGCTGCTTCAGCTCTCCGTATTTATTTTGGTATGTAACCTCTCTCATTCCTGGCGTTCAAGGCAAGTGCAAATATCTTACAAACACAATGAAACCAGGAAAATAAGTGCTTGTGTGCAAGAGAGAGAGAGAGAGAGAGAGAGAGAGAGAGAGAGAGAGAGAGAGAACTTGTGTTTGATATCGCACGAAGAATGGAAAATAACCCCACGCAATGAATGCTGTGTAAAAACAGGTAATTTATTCCGTGCCTGGAGAACTCCCAGCAGTATAAAGCAATCCAAAGGAAGGAAGGCTTGAAAGCACTTGTAGGAAAAGCTTGGTTATTCTTGCAAAGTTTCCCTCGACTCTGCCTGGGGATGTGCTGGGGGCTCCATGGGGGAACACAGGTGTGGCCTGCCCCCCCCCCCAGGGGAGGGCTTGCAAAACTTCATCTCTCGCTTCTCGGCAGGTGACGCGTACGGGAACGTGGTCCACCTGTACGAGAGGGATTGCTCCATCCAGAGGCGGCACCAGAAGGTGGTGGAGATAGCGCCTGCCGCCCACCTGGACTCCCAGCTGCGTTCCAAGCTTACCAACGACGCCGTCAAGCTGGCCAAGCAGGTGAGGGAGGGAGATCGTGGCAGTCTTGGGGAGCTATTTGTGTCTGGAGGGGTGGTGGTGGTGGTGGTGGTGGGGCTGGAGCGCTGTGGGGCACTGTGGACTAGCAGGAGCCTCCTGGAAGCCTTATCAAGATAAGCCCCCCCCCCGTCCTCCTTCAGGCCGTCGTCTTCAAGGCTTAGCAGTTGTCAGGACCATGGCTAGCTCCTAGTGAGGGCCAGGCACAGAATCCCTCCCTAGCAGGAAGCTCTGGCCTTGCTCTGCAGTGGGTGGCCAGGAGGTGTGTGTCCCAGTCCTGCCTCTCTGGAGGGGAACTCCTTTGGGCTAAGGGCTCTCCACCCTCTTCTGGAGGTGTGCAGGCGGGTGGGGATGGAAGGCCTCCTGTTTCTCCTGGATTTGGCTGGGCGCTGGCGGAGGGAGTAGATTCTCTCAAATGAAGGAAGAGGGTGGGGATTCAACTCTTTTTTTGAAGACAAAAGACGAAGGAACCTCAGTGTTCTAGTGGAATCCTTCCCTTGAGGTTCAGGCACCATCCTCCATGTCTTCTGACGCCACCACCGATCATGCAGGGTCAGGGTCTTGGAATGTGATGTGCTGCTGCACCGGGAAACGAGATATTCCCCCAGTCAAGATTTAAATTATGGAGGGGGAGTCTTATGGGGGAAAGGGCCTCCATGAGATCCCCATGAGAGCCAGTGTAGTGTAGTGGTTAAGAATGTGGGACTCTAATCTGGAGAACCAGGTGTGATTCCCCACTCCTCCTCCACATGAAGCCTGCTGGGTGACCTTGGGCCAGTCACCGATCTCTCAGAACGCTCTCAGCTCCACTTACCTCACAAGGTGCCTGTTGTGGGGAGAGGAAGGGAAGGCAATTGTAAGCCCCTTTGAGACTCCTTAAGGTAGAGAAAACGGGTTATAGAAACCAGTTCTTCTTCTTCCCGTCACCTGATCCCTAGGCAATTTGGCCTCCCTTTGGTTTTCTGAAAGCGGTAGCTATGGGTCCATCTCCAGTGGAAGTGGAGGGTCTGGTCTCTTGCATTTCAAACATGGATTCAAGCCCTGGGAAGATGGTGTCTTTGTCTTTTGGGGAGGCTTGATCGAAGGTTTAAAATTTACAAATGGGTTTGGAGAGAGTGAGTGGGGATAGGAAAAATATATTAGAATTTGGACTCTTCGAATAAAATACAGTAAGCGGTAGAATCAGAACGGAGAAAATCTAGCATTTCTTCGCGTAATAAATCACTGACTAAAGGAGAGGGAGGAGACAGTCCTCTCCACCCCAGCTTTAAAAGGGACTAGACAGAGAGAAAAGGAAGTGTATCAGCATTTGTTAGCTAAGTGGAACGTCCAAATCCAGAGGCATTCTACCTTTGAACACTAGCTGCCGACCAACAGATAACAGGGTAGGGTTGCTGGTGGATGTACCAAAAGCATATTTTTAGCACTGCTGGGAAATGGGGTGATGGACTGCTTGGACTGATCTGATCCGGCAAGGTTATTTTTGCATTCTTGTCCACACTTGTCCAAGGTTCAATCCCCAGCATTTCCAGTTAATAGGATCAGGGCTCCGAAAGCCCTTTGCCTGAAGCTCTGTGCAACCTCTGCCGCTCAGAAGAAGCCGAGCTGTGTTGGATCGACTAATGTTTTGACCCAAGCTGTAAAGGAGCTTCATACAATTTTCCGTGCCTCTGCGGTGAGGTGCCTGCTTTGCCTGTGAATAGCCCGCAGGTTCCATCCCAGGCACCTCCAGTGAATAAGAATTCCAGGTATCGGGTCTATGAATCGCCTCTCTCTGCCTAATACCTTAAAGAGCTGACGTCAGAGTAGACAGAACCGCACCAAATGTATGAAGCTGCCTTATGCTACGGGCCTGTCGTTGGGAGAAGGTCTGTGGTCAGCCGTTTGCTTTGCGTGCGGAAGATCCAGAGTCCCGGGCCTAATTCAGAGAGCCCAGGGAGCGGTGAAGGTGGGGGGAAGGGACCCCTGCCTGAGTCCTCGGGGAGTGGCTGCCAGTCAGAGAAGGCAGCACGGATCGATGGCCAGAATCAATAGAAGGCAGCTTCACACAGTTAGACGCCTTGCGAGGGGGGTAGATTGGTGTGTGGCGGGAGTGGAGGGGGCTTTGGATCCTGTTTCCCCCGAGTGCTCGTGCTCTCTCCCTCCCTCCCTCCCTCGTTCCGTCCAACCCTCTGCTGCCAGCGGTGGCTTTTACAAACAATGGCAGAGTGGTTTGATGGCCGCACGCCACCTTGGCACTGGGCAGGGCCTCACAGTTAAACCATCGTGCTGCTGGCCAGCTCTTATTGGAAGGGAGGGGCTGCTGGCGGAGACCCGCTGCTCTGGATTCAGACTCCACTGCAATCCAGAGCCGCCTGTATTAATTGCAGGGCCCGCGGCTTGAGACTGTGGCAGCTGCTTCCGGAAGAATGCATATGGGGGGACAAGGCGACAGAGGGCCTGGGGGAGGTGGGTTGCTTGGTCCTTTAGGCTCTCTGGCCTTTTCTTTCTTTTCTTTTTTGTTGAAGGGGGGGGATAGTAAAAGGAGAGCATGGCATGCATCTGTGTTAGATTGTTGCCCCTCTGGATGGCTGTGAAAAAGACAGGGCTGCACACTTGAAGAAGAAGAAGAGATTAGATTTATACCAGTGTTCTCTCTAAGCTGAGTTAGTGTGAGCTGGTTCACAGTTTTTTTTAATCCTCCAGCTCATACGTTTTTTTGTCTTCGTTCAGGAAGGATGGGCTCCAGAGCAGACTAATTTATGCAGCAGCCAAATCGCTCGCTCACAACTTTAATGCCGGCAGCTCACAAAGTAGAATTTTTGCTCACAAGATCCCACAGCTTAGAGGGAGCATTGATGTATACCCTGCCCTTCAGTACCTGAAGGAGTCTCAGAGCAGCTGACAGTCTCCTTTCCCTTCCCTTCCTCTCCCCACAACAGACACCCTGAAAGGTAGGTGGGGCTGAGAGAGCTCTTTTAAGGACTGCTCTTGAGAGAACAGCTCTGACAGAACTTGTGACTGACCCAAGGTCACACCAGCTGCTGCATGTGGAGGACTGGGGGATTCAAACCTGGTTCTTCCAGATTAGTGTGCTACTAACCACTACACCAAACTGGCTCTCCTTGTCGATGAATACAATTGTGCAAGCCATAATGTTTTCTGGGGGAACTGGTAAAATACCACCTTGCCCCTGATGCCACATGAAGGAAGGGCTGAGATTTGAACTCTGAAGGCTGAGCTCCTGGCGTGCAGACATATGTCAACATTCAGGCTCTGAGATGACAAATCAGCAGTTCTCAGAAACTCTTCAGAAGACAAGAGTCATCAGAAAAGACAACAATGCTAGGAAAAGCTGAAGGCAACCCGAAAGGAGGAAGACCCAATGTGAGATGGATGGAATCGATGAACGAAGCCAGGGCCCTTCATTTCCAAGACCTGAGCAAGGCTCTAAATGATGTTTTGGAGGACATTAATTAATAGGGTCACCATGAGTCGGAGGGAATTGCGCTTAACGCACACTGACGAGAAACTCTGCTTTCAGTGAGACCAGAGAAAGGAACCAGAAATACCTACTTCAACCACTGGATCTGAGTCCAGTAGCATTTTAGAGACCAACAGGATTTTCAGGGAGTAAGCTTTTGAGAGACAAAGCTCCCTTCGTCAGATACAAAGGGATTTGACTACAGGACCTTTTAACTGTCAAAAGGTTGTTAGTCCCTAAGGTGCTTTTGGACTTGAATCTGGGTCTTCTACTGCAGACCAAGACATCTGCCTTCCCAAAATCGCTTCCACCTTAGTTCCGTCTCCCTACAGCTGAGAAAAGAGCCTGTGGATTCTGGTTCCTTGTCTTCCTACCTTAAGAACCTGTTGTTCCCTTCCAGCAACTGAATCCGTTTGAGGTTTATGCCTGCTGCCGTAAGAACCAGAAACATCCCTTTGTAAAAAAAAAATTAGAATGGTAGGGTGCTAGATTCCAGGTATCCAGTTCTCTCCTCCACCTAGAAATATGGACCATTCTCTCTCCTGTCATTCTTGCAGAGCTCACACATTTTGAAGCTTGTGCACCCGGCTACGAGGACTAGAAATTTGCCTTAATGCAAGCTGGGGCTCTTAGGGTATTTAAACATTGCTCTTGGGCGGCCTCATGTGAGACTTTGACTAACCCCAAGTATTGACTAGAGTAGACTACGGCAACATGCAGTCAGTTTTCAATTGAGAAGAAGGGTAGGCTCTGCAGCATTGTGGCGTTATTGCAGCGGAGCAGATATGAATTGGCGGGAGCATGCTACAGTATAGCAAGCAACAATGCAATATACAACACAATATAATATGTGCTAAAAGGAGCAGGCAGTGGCTCAGTGGTAGAGCCCCTATTTGGCATGAATAAGGTCCCAGGTTCAATCCCCAGCATCTCCAGTTAAAAAGGCCAGGCAGTAGGTGATGTGTAAGACCTCTGCCTGAGACCCTGGAGAGCGGCTGCCAGTCAGAGTAGACAACACTGACCTTGAGAGCCAGTTTGGTGTAGTAGTTAGGAGTGTGGACTCTAATCTGGGAGAACCAGGTTTGATTCCCCACCCCTCCATGCACCTGCTGGAGTGACCTTGGGTCAGTCACAAGTTCTCTCAGAGCTGTTCTCTCAAGAGCAGTCCTCAAAAGAGCTCTCTCAGCCCCACCTACCTCTCAGGGTGGCTGTTGTGGGGAGGGGAAGGGAAAGGAGATTGTAAGCTGCTCTGAGACTCCTTCGGGTAGTAAAGGGCAGGGTATAAAGCCAATCTCTCTCTCTCTCTTGATGGACCAAGGGTCTGATTCAGTACAAGGAAGCCTCATGTGTGTGAGCATCCCTGATTCTGCTGGGAGATGCTCCCCTCCTCCAGGGCGGGGGACTTCTCAGTTGTCGTGGGTTTTTTTTTGCTGATCGGCAGGGTAGGTGAACCTGCCGCACAGCAGTGATTTGGACGGGGAGGGGTGTGCATCTTACAATTTCATTGCAATTCACACAGGGG